CACTATCAGAATTGAGAAAAAAAATGCAAATTTTAAATTGAATATAAGAGATATTGTGAACTAAAATTAAGAGCTCAAATGACATGTAATTGTACGATCAGATAGAATATGAATGAATTATTCTCCTCTCCTCTGTCTGTCGGTCTCTCATTCGCTCTTTTAAATAAAAATGGATTCTTGTGCCGGTCCAGTGGCTACCTGTTAGATTTCCTTTGAAATAATGAACCTATCGAATTCAATTTTGGGAAGATGGTCATAAACTAGCTATACATGCCACATTAATTATTTTGTTCAACGTACAAATAACTTATGTTCCATTATCTATTCTCGGTATTCTCATTGCGGAGAGTAGGCAACGATTAAATTAACGGATCACATAACAGGACGAGAAACCTATCCATGAATACTCCTGGATTGCTCTGTCCTGACAGTAGGTCAAATTCGAAATACTTGGGAAGCAACGCAATCTAACGCGGTATAATCAGAAACTTGGTGACCGTAAGGCACCACAATTATGAGCACAGACAGAAGGAGTGAAGACTACTGGCTATAAGCTTTGTTTGTACTGAATCCTTAGGTGTGTGTTGTGCTTGTTGAATTAATGACTTTAGGCCAGTTGCATAACCAGCACATTTCTGGTTTGTGATGTCCGCTGTAATCACAACTTTTCAACACGTGCTATAAGGCAATGACTGCTGCATTACTGACGGAAATATTCTTCTCTGAAAGCAAAGCTTTCTCTACCTTGATCCTCTCCGTTGGATGCTGGCCATCTGGTCACACACAAGAAGCTCAGTTACTTGAGCAAATGGTGTATGCTCGACCAATTTGTCTAACATGACCAACCTCTTTCCATTAATCAATACATTTGCTGGCATCACATGTGCCAGCATGAGAACACAGTCATTCTGTATGTGGTCCTTCAACTTAATTTTCACTGAGTGTCGAGGCTAGCACTGCTGTGCACAGTTTAAGCGTCCTTCTTGTTCTTTCGTTAAGATTAAGTTAATTCCCTCTGAAGAATTGTGGAATTTATTTCATCAGTCTACGATTTGAAAAAGAGACGGTGATATATAGCGTATGGGTAAAACGGACTAAAGATTTGAATGATCGATGATATCAGGAAGTGCAGAGAAAACAGTTCGTTGCCGCTTAATTTGGGAAGACTTAAGAAATGCGCCTAATGACATCGCCAAAATTTGTAGGCAATGGTTTCATTCCTCTTCTTGGATAATGACATTTGTTTTATCTAATGATTTGCAACAAAATTCTTGTGAATACTAATCGCTGGTAATGCATCAAGAAGTAAGGAGAAAATATTTCTGGTTTCAAAGTCTAGAATATCTTACAAGTAAACATCTCCAACATTTCTATGACGCTTCTTATTACCTAATAATTCATATGTCCATTTAAAAAATGGAATTACAGGGCAGAGTGAATTTATAAACGGTAAATTCATTTAAAACCGGCTTAATGGCGTATTACAAAGCGATTTGCTCTGACTTATGTTCTGGGATGGGATGAGAAAGAAAGACACTTAATAAGCAGGTCGTGGTTCAGTGGTATATGAGCGACAGGATGTTAAATGCGTCTTGTTTCATTATGTTCGCTAGAGCAATCTCTTCCTTACTAGAATGACTGTCAGGAGCTGACTCCTTATAGCCGCCATGTAAGCGAGAAAAATGGATTCGTTGATCGAAGTATGGTCCCCGCAGGCGCTACTTTCTTGCCACAAAATATCACAAAATGCACAACGTTATATGAAGGGGTTGCCTGTTATGGCTCTGAATAACGAGAAAATAATACAACGATACAACACGCTGTAAAATCCGATTTCGGCGGTGTTAGTCCTTTTCTTTGTCCATTTCGTAGCTCAAGAGTTGCAGTCATCGCCTGTTTTAAAGGCATTCCAAGAAAAACCGAAGCTTTCGCAAAATAAGCAACGAAATTAATTAGCAGCATTAATTATAACTTATAAATAGTCATAGCCATACAGCTGACTCTCACAGCGGCTCTATTCACTGGCCGTTCTGATATTCAGAGAAACAGGGAAAGAGCAGTGACCACGAGGGAAACCGCTCGACTTTGCTATTTTAACGTGCATGTTCGAATCCAAGCGCAGTGTAAAATATTGTTATTAAATGCTAATTCTTTTGAGAAAATGGAATTCCCTCTATAGTAATTTTATGCAATCACCTGAATAAAGGCTAGCTAGTTAGTTTGACCTGCCTTCAATCGGGACAGGCTACTCTTCTTTGTGTGGTCCTACCAGAGCGTGCGAGATTTACGACTACGCTATCTGATCAGACGCCTTATGGGTGTTGTGCAGGTGGCGTAATGCGCAAGATATCAGATTCGAACTCCATATGTCTGGTGTGATTCCCGCTTAGGGTGATCTTTGTTTTAACCAGAAATTTCGTAGGGCGTTAGAGTCACAACCGGAAGGTCCCGCATTCGAGCCCTGGTCGGACCTCTCTGTTTTCTTCTGAGGTTAATAAATTAGTACCATTCTATGAGAAAAGAACAAGAGCTT